TATATATATATATATATATATAGACCGATTACATTAAGCGAGAACGCGTAATACTTAAAGATGTAATGAGCAGTTTTCGATTTATAAAATGCAACGACAATTCGCGGTATTAACTTTCATTGTAATTTTTTCTTAATTTTGTATTGTCCACCTGTTCGTTACAAACCGGATTTTGGAAGCTGACGAATAATTTAGATATAAGTTATAATATAAGATTATTTTATCTGTTATATATATAATAACGATATTTAGTCACAAAATATTGGCAAAAGAAAATTTCATTAACCTTTTTTCATCGTTTATAACGAATTGGAGGCCAGTACACATTTGTTTTATGTATGTGCGTAAATATTCACAAATTTCTAGTATATGCATAATCACAGCGCAAATGCACAGTAAAATTGTTTTACCACATTTTTTTTTCACATGTAAGATTTGAACTATACTGCGTGTTGCATATGTAAGTATGTACAATTTTCGCGTTTATACTTACGTTATTATAGTTATGTAATTTAATACATATATACACACTCAAGAATATGTATATATGCATCTATACATACATTGTGACCGTTTGAGAGACACAAACATACCATGACGTCCATAACATTCAGTCTTAATTTTGTTTAGCATTGTAAGCTCTCGTCCGTACTAGTAGGGCTTTGACACTCGTCATGTGGAGGCACAAAAATCTGATTACCAGAAATCTGCGACACGGTCGGCATTGGTTCCTCTATAACAGACAATCGTTTCTCGCGATCCGTAGATACCGCTGAAGCGTGAAAAAATACATTTCTCAAAGTGGCTACGTTGACGCGTTCCCGCGAAGTATCGTCCACAGGACTCTCAGCATTTAATTCACCATTCGAACTCCTAAACAAACAATATTATCGCAATAATTTCGCTTTTATTCGTCATTTAACATTTAGTTGCGATTCGTACTTAGATGTCTTTTGAACCTCCATTTCTATCTCTGAATCCTTGTTTCGCTTCCGCCCTCCTGCTGAGCGATTATTTACTGCGCAACCTTCCAATTTGCTACCCACTATCCTCTCTTGATCAGCTTCGATTACGCTGACATGATCGTCAAATCGTACACGTTCCGAACCGCCATCCTCTCCGCACATAGTCCAACTACTGGAATCACTGCATTGACGGTCAAATGTAAGTTTACGACGGATACGTTTTGCTAAACCAGGTGCCACTTCTTCTAGCGAGCTCAAAGAAGTAGCTTGTCCAGCGGAGTCCATGTGACCACCGTTAGCAGAACTAGCTGCCTGTTCTCCTTCTGTGCTTCTGCCACCACTGAGTGAACTACCATCCATCTATATAAAAGACAATAATAAAAATAATGGGATTTAAAAATTATTTTGATACTTTTTCAATCAGACAATCAATCAGATCAATCAATCGGACATTTTAATATTAAAACAAAAAATTTCCTATTTAATATTTATCAGGATTAAATACCTTGAAGTTAAGAACGGAACCTGCCAAAGCTCTCGTGGAGGCCGCACCATCGTCTAAAGCGATAGAAGCATTTACAGACTTTTCAGACAAACTAGTAGCCGCGGAGGCCGTCTCACTACATAAACTGAAACGTTGAGTAGATGTAACGTCAGCCTGTACTTCCAATCTGCGTGCACATGTAATCGAACATATTAGTGAAAAACGCATTATTCAATTTAACAAATGAAAAACGAATACTAATACCTTTGACCTCCAGGTAGCACACTGGAGGCTATACTTCCCGCGAGGCTCGTACCAGCAAGAGCCACATTGCTAGCGCTTTCGCGATCATTTTCCCGGCCTAATTTCTCCAACTGACTTCCACTACCCAATGAAAGGGAGGCCTCCCCTATCGATGGATTACCACCGCGATGACTTGCGACGTCTATTGATGCCGCATCTGTAATATGACGGTTTTGTAATAGGGGTTTCGATCGCGATAATCCGACCTCGATAAGGGGGTATGAATAGCCGCGGCACACACGTGGATAAGATGGATTTAATCGAGTGGAACGTGCATGGCACAAATGCATCATATTTACCTCCTCCATTACGGACGCCTAGAGCCCCCATCAGCTCATTCTCGTCATCAAATTCAAATCGCACTCCGGTGCCGCTCGTAGAGACGCCACAACCTCCGCTTCGGCAGAGGGATACTGGAACCACGCCATACACGTAGAATAGCAAAATGGGCACACCAATACCCACGGCTAATCCTGCTAACACTGGTGATACTAAGACCTGTAAGAGTCATGACGATAAATTAATAAACGCCTTTGTTAAAAAAATGTTATCCACATCGCTTACTAGGATAACAAAGTGTGCATGTTATTGGCGTCTTTAGGGCTACTCCTTGCTTTAAATAATGCCACGTCCGACACTTGTTAATATAAATAGGAACAGTCTCGGATACATATCGAAGGTCACAATGTAGCTACATAGAGTTATAAAGAATTCCGATAATGAAAGTTTAATGCTCACGTCGCTCGGTAAAGCCAAATAAATGATGTTTTCGATAAACAGAGATAATCAATTTAAATTAATCATTTCCGTTAATGTAATATCCTGTTTCACTTATATCTCAAAGCGATAGCTGGTTTTTTTATCTTATCCAGAACAATATTCAAGCGCTTCTCGAGTCTCAAGAGATTTTACATTTTTTACTACACATTTATCAGCGTGCTACGTTTCCATGCTTGGAACGATTTCGCTTGTCCCGCAATCTTAGAAGGAAATGAAATACGGCACATCGTACTAGCTCGCACAGCCATCAACGTAGAGCAATGAATTTAGGAGCTGTCGGAGGTGCATTATCGCGCTCCAATTTTCAGATTTCCTGCTAGACTTCGGGAACGGAGTCGGCATACGGCCGAAGATGGAAGAGGTCTGTTTCTTTACACAGGGCTGACTGAGTTAGACTGAGTTAGATCCGATTCACACTTACAACGGTTAAAAATTAGAAATCCTCTAAGAGTCTGCCTATCGATTGTGTATATCGAAACGAGATAAAAATTATAAAAGTGAACAAAAAGTCACAAGAATATTTATAATTTTATTGGTCAACATTTAGAGAATTTGATCAATTTTATCATTTTCATTTAAGATACAACCGACTTCCTAGATACGAATCGCATTTTGTGTGTGTGTGTGCAGGGTC